CTGAGCAGTCACAGTGTGTTTTTAAGAAGGAAACATATCTGATCCACTCAGTGAACTCTTGATCTCTGTTTAAAATCTAGCAGTGGACTTGTAAGAAAATATAGAGCTATAGCTAAGCACTTCACAGGAGACAAACAGTGTGGCCTCTTGCAGTCACTGTCCCTACTGCAGGAGCATGCAATCCCCACGCCAGGAAGAAAGAGCACTGTGGTCCTGCTAGCTGCCAGGCAGAAACAGGTTAGAGAATCAGGCAGTGTTCACTCCACCTAACCAGCCATATTCTCTTTGCACTCCCACTACAAAGCAGCATCACTCTGTCCTGGTGATACCTACTGCTTTCCCGAGCTTCTGTGGGGTGGAGCCACAGTGAATGGAGGGGAAGGGGATACTTGGGGTGGGGAAGGGATAAGCCTTTAGGAGTGGGAGTACAGTGTCACACTCAGTGTCATCTTTTTTGGAAAACCCCCAGGGAAAAGTCATGTCTGTGTAAGGGCATTTAAGGATATGAGAAAATACTTGGTGTTCATCACACAAGTGAAAAAGGCTACAGAGCTGTGCATGTGGAAAAATCCCAACAGTAGAAAGGAAACCACACCAGTGTGTACACACGTGTGTTGTGTGTGACTTCAATTATTTCTGTAATTTTTGTTTTCTGAGATTTTAATAATGCACTTAAAAAGCAGCTTCCAGTCAGGCATAGTGGCACACGCCTGTCATCCTAGCACATAGAGGTAGAAGGATCAATATGAGTTCAAGGCCAGCCTAAGTTATACAGTGAGTTCAAGGCCAGTCTAAATTACATAGTGAAGCCCTGTCTCAAAAAGAAAAACAAAACCAAAAAGCAGCTTCATAGATGTGCAGACTCAGCGAAGGGCAGTCTGCCAAGGCCCACGTCAGGGTGTGATGCCTGCGCTTTCCTAGATTGGCCCCATGAGAATGGCCTGTAGCATTAGGGCCAGGCTCTAATACCCTGGCCTCCCCACTGCCTGTGGTACTATGGGACCATCTTACTGATTCTGTTAAAGCTCTTTGGGTAATTAAAATTATATTTTAATCTATTTTAAGTTACAAAACATTATTGTTCTTTCTAAAAATATTCAAACTACCCAGAAGTATACAATGCAAAAGCCTCAAGTAACTGTCTAAGTCTCTGGGTGGTGTCACCCTTTGAGCATAGTGCTGGGCCACATTGGTCCACAATCACAGAGCCCAAGCACCCATACAGACAGGTGCAGTCCAATGTCCAAGTGGTTAGCATTTTATTACACGGAGGTATAATTTTAAATGAATTCTCTTACTAATGTTCTTTTTTGGTTTTCAACTTTTTGCTATAAAAAATGATGTTGCAGCCAGGTGTGGTTGTACATACCTATATTCCTAGCACTCTGGGAGCCTGAGACAAAAAAAAAAAAATTAAAAATTCAACCCAAACTTGAGCAACTTAATGATTTAGTGAGACCCTGTTTAAAAAAAAAAAAAAAAAAAAAACAAGCTGGGATGTAGTGCAGTGAGGAAAACCTGGAACATCTTTGGATATACATCATTTACATGTATACTTGACATTTTAAGAATCCAGTACTCTGATAGGCTGAGGCAGGAGGTTCCCAAATTTGAGCCCTGCCTGGGCAATTCAATAAGACTAGTCTATTGACTTGTAGGAATCTGATTGTGAGTTGATAAAGCTAGCTGAAACTTGTTGCAATTATATTTTGGGTACTCACTCCTGCAGTACTGGAAATAATTTCATTATCTGGTGAATATTTCAGGTTTTTTATGCACCTTTGAAGGAGTTGAGGGTTTAGGGTTCTCTGTTCTGCTTGAGGTTCAATCTTAGCCTTAGAACTATTTTTAGTTTACTTGTGAAGGAGGCTAGGAAAAAAGGTACCCAGTGCATTTTATTACACAAACACATGATTAACTTAATTGCTAAAAATACCCTTATAACTGCCATTTGGAAAAGTAGGAAAAAATTAACAAGATAAAACATGATCTGTCCCTTCTACAGTTTAGAAAGCTCTCTCTTCTCTTTTCTTACTGTGTCATCAAGGACTGACCCTAGGACCTCTGTATGCCAAGTAAGTATTCTACCACTGAGCTGGCCCCAGCCCTTTTAAATTTTAACTGGAGATATCTCTTGCTAAGTTGCACAGGATGGCTTTGAACTTGCAATCCTCCTGCCCCAACTTCCTAAGCAGCTGGGATTACACATGTACCACCACACTTGACAAAGATCTAATTAATGTACAGGATAAAACACTTCAAGTCCCTAAGTCCTAAGGCTGGGGCTGCTACCAAGTCTCATACAGATATGAGGAGCATTGCTTTCAACCATGGCACTGATAGCTTGTCATTTCAAGCTACACAAATGTGTTTGTTTCCACATACTTGTCAGGGTCAGAGGAAAACAATGATTTTCTGAACAGTTTCTGCCTGCCTGCCTGCTGGCCTCTGTGTGGTGGTAGGCCCATGTGCCACGCCCCATGTAAATGGGAACTCTTGGGCAGGGCCAGTGTGCCCACAAAGGAGCACATAGGACAGAAGTCTGTGCTGACTTGGGAGTGGCAGGTGTGGCTCTAGGACCAAGCCCAGTCAGCATTCCACATGCCTCTGAGAGCTTTCCCATCACCCCTTCCTGTGCCATAGAGGCTGGCCCACGCTACTGCCTGGGAAAAAAAGCTAATCCTTTGGAAAAGCACCAAACTTTTTTTTTTTCTTTGCAGGGGGGTGGGGTGGGTCCTGGGGATTCAACCTTCAGTTTGGTATAGGGTCTCATTAAGTTGCTAAGTTGCTCAGGCTGGGCTTGAACTTGTGATTCTTCTGTGTCAGCATCTCAGAGTGCTGAGATTATAGTTGTGTATCATTCTTAAGTTTAAGAGGAATGTGGTTTGGATCATCTATGTGATTATTCCATTTCATCACATGTAGAAGAACAACAGGCCAGTTTCAAGGACTTCAAAGAGAAGCTGCTCATTAGCATTCTAAGAAATCACCACCACTGCCAGCAGCAGTCACTGTGCTGAGGGAGGACAGCAGACTATCAGATTTCTCAGTCATCTGATCTCATCTGCCATGAGCACAAGACAGTCTCAGGAAACCAAACTTCCGTTAATATTAAACTAAACTCTTCTTCTAAGTGGGCCACACCACAGCAATAAAGGGCAAATCTGTCTCCCTCCGCAGGGTCTAGCTGCCTCAGTGCCTGCTCAGTTAGCTCTTGTTTACTACATACAAATTCCATGATTTGGGTCTCTTTCCTCTTAACCGGAAGGTCTCAGTGATCAGAAAAGGGCACTTTCTTCCCTCTGCATGGTGACAACAAACCTACAGTCACTTCAAGGTAAGTGAAGTGAGCTGACTTTCGAAGTCCTGTGCTTGTTGACCATGCCTGAGCTACAAGCCTGAGTGACGCTGGGGCTGTTTGTGTGTGGCACATGTGACCATCATTATTCTGTAGGCCCAGGTTTGGGTTGGCCAAGCTTTCACCATCAGCATTTCTTTATGCATTAATTTTAAATTTAAGATTTTTCTTTTTTGGAGGACTGAGGAAAGGAAACCAGTGCCTCGTGCATAGTAGCAAGTGTTCCAGTACTGAGCTACACCCCTAAAACTTTGTAAAAGTTTATTGAGACAGGTCTTGCTAAGTTGCCCAGACTGGCCTTGGACTTGTGATCTTCCTGCCTCAGTCTTTTGAATAACTTTTTTTTTTCGGAACCGGGGATTGAACTCAGGCCCTTGCGCTTGCCAGGGAAGTGCTTATTCCATTGAGCCATCTCCCCAGCCCCAGTCTTTTGAATAACTGAAAGCTTAATTTTTAAATAGTTCCAATAATATCTCACTAAACCTTTCATAACTGTTTAACTATTTGACCTCTGCTGGCCATTTAAGTGGATTCCAATTTACACTATTATAAATAACAGAGAGACTACCTTAGCAAATAATTTACTGGGCCAAAGGGAGCAGTTGCTTACGGCTTTAGGTACTTACTATCTGACTTTCCAGGAAAGTCAGGCCGTTTTACACTCTTAGAGCCATCTAAAATACAAAAGAGAGATCTCCTGTCCTTTGTTGGCAGAGAGGCAGACAATAAATTAGAATGTTATTACTGGCCTTGGGTATGACAATGATTATCTTGCATTTCTATTGATAAAAGTCTATATTTACTGTAAGAAGAAAACAAAAGAAAGCTGTAAAATAGAATCTAAGTGCTTTCCACAGAAGTTATTTAGTCATCCAGTCTGATATGCAATTAAGAATAAGCTTTAACTTTCAATTATCATTATAAAGGAAGAGGAAGATTTTCTAGATCATATAAAAATCTAAAAATGAGTCTGTGCAGAAAGATAAGACAACAAAGAACCTGATGATAAGACAATTCCTGTGTTATTTCAAGGAAGAGCCAAGGACCTGGATACATGGCTAGAATCCATAGCCACAGAGCTGCTGCATCTTTAGGACCCAGGTCAGGTTACAGCTGTGGCAGGTTAAGACTGAAAGGCAGTCTTGCTAAACAAATCTGAGTGTGTGGGGCCAGCCCAGCACGAAGCACAGTCCTCAGAGTCCAGGCCTGGTGCACTCCTTCACAGGAACCAAGAGACCTTGCAGATGAGGGCCAAGTCATAAATGTGACACCAGGAGCCCTGGAGAGGCAGTTTTACTTAGTCTTTCCTCTGAGAAGATAGGAGGGACAAGGAGCACACACTCTTCTATCCTAACTGCTGACACTCCCATCATGATAGCAACTTGGTGCCAACCTCCAACAGCTGCCAATGCCATGTGACAGGAGCTCAAAGCCCTCCAAAATGCTGGTCATCTGCTTGAGACACAGCCTCTACCTGGGTTAGTGCAGTCTCGTGAGACAGAGGACACATGGTGTGCGAAGCAGAGGAGTCAGCATGAGGCTAGTATTAGGGGCCCAGGGAAGGAGGTAAGAACTGAGAGGCTCTAGGCCTTAGGTGCTGGCCCACCCCACTGAGTCCCACTGGGCCTACACCAGGACGCACCTTCATGACAGGCTGGGCAAAGTACCGGGCGCTCCAGTCACAGAACCCTGTCTGCATTGTGGCGCAGATGAAGCTTTTGTGTCCAGCAGCATCGTCTGCATCATCCGTAGTCTTTCAGGTGTTTAGAAGGTGGAGGGTCAGAAGAAAAGAGAAAATCCAAATTTTATTTTTCCCTTAATTCTCTGTGTGATTAAAAAGGTCCTTGACAGGGGACTGAGGTGGTATTGAGCAGTCTGCTACTCACCTGGGTATCCTAGAGACCAAGAGGTCCTGCACATCAATCTGGACAGGGGTTGAGTGGCAAGGGTTAAGAAGTGTAGTCTGTATCTGCCTATTGTCCCTAGGGCCATCCCAGTGTGACTTGGCCAGTGCAGCCTCAGTCACCCCCTTTGCCAAGTTCCATTGCTGTGTTGACAGCCCTCATGTATAGTTCCTCAATCCTGCATGCCTCTGCTGCCTGGCACAGGCTGCCTCTCTGACAGCCATACAGATACCAGCTGGGAATACAGCTAAGTACAGGTCACCTGAGACCTAACTCTTAAAATGCTGGAAATTGCTATGTGGACAGGGGCCACTTCTCACCATGGGCTCTTGGGTGGTCCTGGGGTGCCAGGGCTGGTGGTTTCTTTGTTCCACAGAGCTGTGCTCCAGGAATCCCCATGCCAACCACTCAGAGGTGGGCTGAAGGCATTTCTCACACCAAATATTGGCAGAGAGGGGCCTCCTCATCACCCAGAGGACAAGAGAAGGGCTCATCTCCCACTAGAAGCAACAGCTTTGGCTCTGCAGGGGTGTGGGGACCACTCATATCTATGCCAGGTATGCTCTTCCCCTAGATCATGGTTTTCATGTGCTGGTCATCCACTTTTCCCCAGCAACACCTCCATCAGGGCCCAGGTAGGAGGCTACCTGTGCTTGGAGCTTATTGGTCATGTAAGGCCTCAATGTCACTGTGGCTTGGGACTGACCAGTAAATGAAGACATGCTCTAGTGCTGCTGTGTGGGCCCTGCTGATTACCCACAATGTTAACCTTGCAAGAAGTTAACTTCCAAGGTAGTTAGGACTTCATTCTGTTCACTGAGGACCAAGTAGGCCAGGGTACACCTCTACCTTGGAGAGACACTCACTGCTGGAGACAGCAGCCAGATGCCTCAGCACAGCCTAATAACCTTTTTCAGATCTTGTGCCTCCGATTCAGGATAATACAGGAGGCCTTGGGGTGAGCACACCTGCTCTGGATCTTGAACCCTGGAGATAGCTCTCCTGGAATTTCCTTCCCACTTAGTTAAAGGCAAAGAGAGTGTGCTTATTTGTGTGGACTAACTGAATATTTATGGGAAAAAACAAACAATCCATTCAGAATAAATACTCTGTGGAGCAGCTGCTACCACAAGCTGATGCAAAATGCTCTTTACCCAAGAAAAAAAGAAAAAAAAAACCCCAACAAAACAAACAAACAAAACCAAACCAAATTGACTTCACGTGCTTATTTTGTCATATAGTATTTTCAAGGCCAGTGAATGGGGAGAAGCTACAGGGTAGGAGGCATCTGTGTGTGGGTTGGACTAGCCAGCTGGCAGGCAGGGCAGTGGATGAGGGACCACCACCCAACAGGGTCAATAAAGCAGTTATCAGTTTGGGCCAAGGGAAGGCAGACCTAAACATGAGGTCTCATCCTCACATAGGAGAAGCCAAGTGCCATGAGGTGTGCAGAGGGGCTACATCTGTATACCTGATCTGGGCCTTTGTCGAACATCTTCCGCGTCCGGGGGAACTGGTGGGAGTGAGGGGTATACTGTGCTCCTGTGGGGCCTGTGGTGCCCTGGCGGCCAGGAGGCAGGTCACGGCTGACTGGCTGCTTTGCCACATCATTGGTCAGACTGCAGCTGCTGGTGCTGGATGCTGGTGGGGAACCTCTATGGGGAGAAGAGCAGATGGTAGGCCTTACTGTGGGTTCTCTACTAGAGGATGAGACATTAAACTTCCTTCCCAAGCTGCTGTTAGCAGACCCACAAATATCTTCAACCACTTGATACGTCAATATGACTTCCAAATGTTGGCTGCTGGTGCTGAGTGTGGACTATTCTAGCTGTCCCCTGGTAGACACTGAGAACCATCCTCCCTGGATGCTACATCCCAGGAGGTGGCAAGGCCTAACTGGGCCCAGGGCAGATATCCAGGGGAGCATGGGCTGAGGGTGCATACTCACATCTGGGATCAGCCATGCTGTTTCCTAGAGTGTGGACTTGATGAAACAGTGCAAAGCCTACCCTCTGGTCACCAGGCATTTGGTCTAAGTTCAGAAACTGGGTTGAGTTTAGCTTTTACTGTCGTATCATGTGCAAATGACAGTCTTTAAGTCAGAGAAGAATTCTTAGAAGGCTTTGGATTAGATGAATATGGGTATGCATGAAAGGAGACAGAGAAAAAGATGAAGGGAGGAGATGGAGAGAGGGATGACAAGATAACAAGGGGGAATGAAAGAGTATAAGGAACTGAGCAATAATGGGGGCAGATGGCAGTCTATCGTAGACTGCTGCAGTGAAGCTCACATCAGGTCACTTACACCGCTTGGTGGATATGCACTTACCCCACCTGGTGGATGTGCATGCCCTTGTTGGTTGGGCTTGCTGGGGCTGACTGTGTCAGAGAGGAGGTATCGAGGATGCGCTGAGGCCGGGCATTCACTGTAGCCTAGAAGGGCAAAGAACATGTGATACATGAGGTCAGGAGACAAGATCAAGAGGCTCATGGCTGCTTTTGCGAAGTTTTAAAATGGCAGAACAGAATTCTAGTCTAAGGAAATCTCAAATACCAATGGGAGGCTGTGTTCTTTTACTCTTGCAGGAATAATTCCTCAGGCAAGTCTGTAAGGTCCAGAGCTGAAAAGAAACCCTTACATGTGGCTCTCAAGATGCTTTCTGGATGGCATAAGGCCACCTCTACCTCCTTCCTATTGAAGAGGCTACCCCCGGGCATCCCCTCATCCTTCCTATGCTGCCTCCACACTGTGTTGGCGCCTAGACTGCTCTCTTTCCATCATCACTGTAAGGCTTCTGGTGGCCTCAGGCTTGGCTATGGAGTGCCACAACATGCCTAAACGGGGATCACTGGGATGGCAAATCACCCGAGAACTGCTGTGTAACTGTGTTTGGTCTTAGAAGGGTCTAAGAAAACCAGAGGCAAAGACAGGAGGGGATGGTAGAGTAGAAGAAAAGAACCGTGAGATGAATTCTCTCCTACAGAGAAGGGGCTCTCCCGTTTTGATCTGAGAAAGTATAATTACCTTTAAACTACCCTCCTTATCTGGGCATGGTGGAACACACCTGCAATCCCAGCAATGGGGAGGCTGAGGCAGGAGGATCACTGCAAGTTTGAGACCAGCCTGAGCTACAAGGTAAGCTCAAGGCTAGCCTGAACTGCATAGCAAGATCTTGTCTCAAAAAGATAGAAAACAAAGAAAACCAAAACCAAACAAAACAAACAACCCTCCTTGAGTAGCTGGGATGCATCTCAGAGGTCAATCTTATGCTTAGTACATGGAAGGCCCTGGGTTCCATCCCTAGCACCAAAAACAAAAACCCATCCTCAAACAGAGCTGTATTTCTCCATCCTCATGTACAGCACAGATGGGTGCTGGCTGTGCCCCTGGGATGTGGATTATCTCTAAGGCAGAGATGAACTTGAAAACCAGCCCTGAAGAAAGTGTGGGCTGTATTGTGAGGGAGAGTAGGGTAGCTGGGTGAGCCAGGCCTGGCCTGTGGAAGGGGCAGCTCAAGTGACCACCCTTGCCCTTACAGATACCTGGTTTCTATTCTCATTGCCCATATTCAGAGGCTGCTCAACAGTGTTTTTTAAACTGTAGCACTGTGGATGAAGAGGCAGTTGTGGATGCTGTAGAAGCCCTACTGCAAACATTAGCAGGGTTTGAAATTTTCCTGAAAAGAGATTTATACTGACTCCATCCATGTTCAGGAAGGGAGAGGTTTCATCTGATTTTTAATAGGATTTTGTATAGATTTGGAAATCAGCTATCTTTCAGGATAATAGGCAATGAGAAGATAAGCAAACAGGAGCACTTCCTGCTTGATGGCCAGTAACATTAGCACATCCAGATGGCCCTGGGCCTTCCACTCCCAGCACCCAGAGGGGCTGGCAGCAGCTGGGTTCTGGGTCCCTCAGGCTGTGCAGTCAGTTGGGGCCAGGTGAGGCTGAGCTGAGTTCTCCTCCAAATCAGGAAGAAGAGACAGTGGCTCTTTACTCTTAACAGCCACTGACAATTCCACCAGGGATAGAGCATGAGGCTGCATTCTAGAAGCTGGAGAAAAACATGAACCAGAGACAGAACCTCAGCCTTGGGAGGCTCCTCTTCTGGGGGATCACATTCCTAAATTATCCATTATGTAGTCAGGAACATTGTCCCTATAATTCAGCCACCAGACAGAAAGTCAAAGAGAACAAACCATCATGAAAGTCTTTTTTTTAAATTTTATTTTTTAATATTTATTTTTATTTATTACATTTATTTATTGTGTGTGTGTGTGTAGCCAGCTCAGCCCACCAGGGGGCGGGTCTGGCTGGCATGTGGTGCTGGGGATCGAACCGCGGTCCCTGTGCTTTGCCAAGCTTGTTTCAAGTAGG